CGGCCCCTCAACAAAAGGTAATAACCGAAAAAAATAACAAAGGACTAACAAGATGACACTTTTTTTTTTTAATGAAAAATTCGAATAAATTCGAAAATTTCGACACAAAAAGGAAGAGAAATTCGGTCCCTCAACAAAAGGCAAACCGAAAAAAAATAAAAAGATAAGATAGATAACCACACGATCAGCCCCTCTCAATGAAAGCACCAATGATGACGGATCGTGTGTTCACCTATACGTTGGTTGCGAATAAACGACGCACTGAGGCCTTCGTTTATCCCCGATAGATGTATCTAGCAGACGCACTGCAGCCTTCTCCTAGACACCGTGACTTCAAGACGCACTATTGGCCTTCTCTCCGACACTGCATGTAAAGACGCACTAATGGCCTTCTTTATCACACGTTAAGAACATAAGTTCCCCCTCAAGATTGTCTTCACCAATTCAATACTTCATTCAAGACATCTCATAATGATGGGGTACATGGGGTATTTATAGTTGTAAAATAAATCTAAGCCTAAATCTAATAGATCTCCTAAATATTGCAAGAATAGAAATCCTATCTCTAGAAAGCAATAAAATCCTAAAGCTACCAAATAACTATTGCTTGGCTTGCACACAAAGCAAATCTAGAAGCTCCCTAAAATCTCCCACATGCTCAATATTTCGGCCGCCCTAATCTCGCGCTGCCTTTCTTCGAGCGTCGCACGCGTGCGCGTGCGTCTCGCTCTCCTCCACGGACCGGGACTCTTGCGCGCCAGCCTCGCACGCGCGCCTACACGTACGCCCAGTCCCGCGCCCGATTCCTCGCGCGCGTACGCGCTGCTCCACTGCCTATGCCTACCGCGCATAGGACTCCCGCGCGCTGCCCCTGCACGCGCGCGCCATCTCTCTCCTTCCGCGCCTGCCGTGTCCTGCCCGCACGTGCACGCCGCTCCTTTGCCATGCCTAGTCCTGTGAGGAGTAGGCCTTGCGCGCCCGTACCGTACGTGCGTGCATCCGCTCGCGTCCCATCCAATTCTCGCGTACTTGTTGCTCGCCCATTCGTGCGCATCAACGGTCGATGCACACTTTTTGCATTTTAGCCCTCCAAGTCCACTAGCCTCTCCGGTCACAAACTCCACTTCCGTATCATTCCCCTCCTCTTCAAGACTTTTCTTGTCCCCAAGGATTAGGAAATTCAGCTTCCCATCTCGACCACCCCCGTCATCTTCACCAAGTGACTCGTCTGGATCCTCAGTCCTCAACTTGACCCTCTTACTTGATCTCCCGAACTCCATAGTTCCTTTCCAATAGTCGGTTGTGATCGGACCAAGTGTCTCCAACCACTGGCATCCAAGCACTATATCAGTTGCCTTCAATGGCAAGGCATAGAGATCCACTCTCATCCTTTGACCTTGAGCCTTCAACCTTACATCCTTGAATAGAATATCTCCTCGTAGTGTTTCCCCGTTCGCAACTTTGACTCCAAAAGGTTTTACCTTGGTAAACGGAATTTCAATTTCTTTGGACAGCTCTTCATCAATGAAGTTTAGCGTAGATCCGCTATCAACCAATACTTCCACCAGTTTTCCTCTTGCTTCAGCCGTGAATGTAATCATCTTCGGACCATGCTTCTTATTCTTAACCATGTGTAGTAAGGACTCCTCTCGTGGTTCTTCTTCCTCAAATTCCAACAAAAAGACCTCCTTACCCTTGCACCTATGGCCTGGCGTAAACTTTTCGTTGCACGAATAGCAAAGGCCTTTTTCTCGCCGTCGTTGCATCTCTTCATCAGTCAATCGTCGTATGTTGCTCGTTGTTCGAACAGCTTCGCCCAACGGCTTGCTTTCGGTTCGCGTTGACTGTTCCTCGGTCGCGACGTGTGCGCGGTTGGTCTCCGTGCGTACGTCGCTCGGTTTCGCCTTGCGTACTGCCACGAGATGATCTTCGTGCAGCCTGGCCGATTCTATAGCCGCACGCATTGATCCTGGCCTGTCCAATCTTACCTCGGCTGCCAGCTCAGCCTTTAGTCCTCCAACAAATGTTCCCACTAACGCAGCCTCGTGCCAGTCCCGTACTCTACTAGCAATGCGCTCAAATTCCTTCTGATAATCCCTTAGA